AAGGACGCTGTAGGACATAAGTGTAATACCAAGCCATATGTAAACGGTATAATAGAAACCCTGCAAATTTCCTAACTTGTGTCAAATACGATACTACATAGAGCAACTTCAATGCAGCATCATTTCCCTCCCAATAGCAAAAGAGAGCCCATATGTGATGGTAGCACAAACAACAAACTTTTTGGTCCAGACATATGTGTACATATTTTACGTCCCAAATCAGAGGACAAGCAGCAATTGATCTCTCCACTTTGAATTCAGGGGAAAAAAGATGTGGTACTTTCAACAAATAACTGAGCACAAATGGCTCACTAAAGTTGTCAGAAGTCATTCATATAATTTACAAGCACCTTTCCCCAGATCATCAGGATCCCCATGAACAACAACAGCCCGTCCAATGATGGAGTTTGGTCCACTGAGAGGAATCTGCAGAGTTAAGTAACTTAAAGTTATGAAGTTCAGATTTTAGATTCAGTCATCCAGAAGAAGTCATTAAGATCTTAATAACAAACCTGATTGTCAGTAATATTGAAGCTCACAGTTCCTGAATCATAGAGCAGGGTTGACACCAACTCAATGATAAAAAAGCACAAATTATAATAAGCAAAACAAAAGAACTCTTTCGTTTGGGGAAAAAAAAAAGAGCTCTTTCAAAATGAACCATCACCAGAACCAATCCATACCATCATCACCAACATTAACATTTCCTAGATCACCAGCATGACGGTTCTCATCTTCAGGTGCACCATGCTCCTTGCCAGCAGGATTAAAATGTGGACCTGTTAAAATAATTCAAAGATTTAGTGATATTATTGCAAGACAGTGTTTGAATTTTAATCCTCGTAGGAAACTTCATCTCCAGGCTTAAGCATTTGGAGAACATAAAATTTAATAGCAACATAAAAAAAATCTTTTAAGCTAGGAAAAACAAGCTATCCATTTCAATTTCCTCACTTCTTATGTTAAACTGAAAATGACTCTTTCCTCTGGTTCAGTATTGCCGACGCATAAGAAAAAAGGTGCTAGTTTATTGTCAATAGACTATACCAGTTGACAAGCAACCATTTGTGGTGTCGCCAAGGGCATGGACATGGAAGCCATGGAGCCCAGGCTTCAGGCCTCCAAGGTTTCCGGTTACAGTTGTTGGCCCTGAAAATTCAAAATACAACGTTTGTGACTGACGCAGGGAAAACAAAACGCATCCTTCAGAAAGATTTGAGACCAACCGAAACTTACCATCTCCTTCCTGAACGAAGTAGATAGTTCCAGTGACGCCCTCATTGCTTTTAAGAACTGCGACAGCCTTCACCATTTTTTTAATGTGATCTGAGCACGAACACCTTTTAGAATGTGTACACAAGACAGAATATGCAAACTGGCAGCACAAGACATTAACATTGCCCGGCAATCTACGAAGAAGAGAACAAAAAACAAAAAGAATACGCAAAATATTCTATATTCTGATTCCATCATATTTCGTCCAATCACAACAACGAAAAACTAATTCTCAACTCTCAAGTAACACCAATTTCAAGTCATATAGCATTGTGCAGCGTGAATATTACAATTTCCTTAAGAGCCGGAAGAATGCAGTTGAAAAATGAAACTCAGGTTAATTACGAATAAGAGGAGAAGACAGTCCCTGCACTGTAAGTGCAAAATGATCACTCCAAACTAGCTGAATGTTTAATGGAGCAGTCTGATGATCACTCCAAACTAAAACTGAAACTAGCACTTCCACAGAATCAAACAGGAGGAGAAAAACAGACGAAAAGGAAAACTTAGATTTGCGAGTTGAAGCTTCTTTTCTTTTTCGTGATAAAGAAATATATCCTTCAACCTAGTGTCATAGACGCGATCCTTGTCTCATTTCTAATCACATAAAAACACAGAATCAATGCACCGCACTATTCGTGATTTCTGAAAATGAATTCGAGAGAAGGACGTAGGAATGCTTTTTTCTTCGTCTTCACTTTATCCTGATAATCACATTCACACATTGTAGGTCCTAACAAAGTTGATGTACAGGAATAGGCATTCACTATATAATTAAGATGTCAGAAGCAGAAACCAAAGGAACGAAAGCAGCATTGGACCTTTTAATCTTTCTTCTTCAGAGTCAGAAACAGACTTACCTCAGTGCACCCCTCGGAACAAGAGCGAGGGAAAGGAACAACCTACAATCAGCGCTAATAGTCGCAGCCTTGTAGTTGCGGTATGCTTTTATATTCGGAAATGAGAGCAACTTTCCCTCACCTACCCTGTTGCCACCAAACCCGCTTCCGGGGTAGAATGGTAGCATGGTCTAGTGATACATGGAGATAAAATTAAAATATGATTAAATTTTGAAAATAAAATTAATAAATTTTAAAGTTTTTGTAGATTTCAATAAAACATATTTAAAATTATTTATTAATAGAATCACTTACGCTATGTTTGGCTCGACGGAGGGAAGGGGAGGGGAGGGATTTTAATCAAGGGAAGGGGAGGGGAGGAAAGGGGAGGGTAGCTACAAAGGGAAGGGGAGGGAGGGGGAGGGGGGAGGGATTTTAATGATCTCCTGTTTGGATTGATTGGAGGGGAGGGGAGGGAGCAATTTTAATAATACCTTATTTTGTTCTAAAAAAAATTGACTATTTTAGCCTCATAAAATTTAAATGAATTTTCTCACTTTTTATTTTGTTAAGATATAACTATATATATATAATACAATTCACTAATTTTGATTTACAAGATACAGTCACACACTTATAGAATATCAAGACAAAAAGTCACAAGTGATAGATTTCAATCAGAGAAAAGACCTTGAAGGTGAAAGAAATACCAACGGCCTCTTAGAATTAGAAGAAGAGAAAAAAAGTTTACAAATGCTCACTAATTTTGGAGATAATTATCTTAATAACCTCTTATTAGATGCTCAAAAGAACTCTATTATGTAGAAATGTTTATGATTGATTAGAGGTTAACAAATCGAAAGGGCATATAAGGAATTAAAATATCATCTCTCACCTCCCCTCCAAAAAACCCCACTTTTGGAGGGGAGGCTAGAAGGGAAGGGGAGGGGAGAAGAACCCCTCCCCTCTTTAAAAAACATCTTAACCAAACGAGGGGAGGGGAGCTCCTCCCCTCCCCTCCTAAAAATTATACCAGCCAAACAAGGGGAGGGGAGCAACTTCCCTCCCCTCCCCTCCGAAAACCCCATACCAAACATAGCGTAAGTATTATTCAATATAACATTAATTTTATCATGAGTACTTAAGTTTGGATAAAGGGGTTTATTTATTTATTTATTTATTTATTTTTGGCCTGCATGGACAAGTGGCTTTAGCTGTAAACTGTCAAGGGTTCTATCAGTAATGGCGGAAATTCTAGGAATGATCCATGGCCCACACTGGTGCTGGACAAATAACTTCAAATGAATAGTGATGATGGAGGCTAAACATGCTCATGCTCTAGCGGGAAACTACTGAATCTTTGATCACGATTCATTTGAAAGTAATCAGATGGATGGTGATGATAGAGGCTAACAGTTTCTCCCTTGGGCTTTCTCCGCGATATGCTTTGTTATTTATTTGTTTGCTTTTCTGATGGCTGCTTCTAGTCCTTGTATTGGTTCTTCTGAGGATCACTTTGTAATTGGTGCATTGTTTTTACGTTTTTAATGCATGATTCAGTTCTATAGTCAAAAAAAAAAAAAAGAATGATGGGATGAGAATGCAAAGATGCTGCGGTTAATTATGATTTAAAGACTCGCACAGATTTCGCATTTTCAGCATGACACTTGAAAAAGCTCATCCAATCCTTCAAACCATAATTTAGTTTAATAAACTAAATTTTAAATACTCCATGCTGTCAGGATTTTTTAAAATTACTTTTAACAATCAATATAACAGGAAATTTATTTTTAATTTGATTAGATTTTAACATACTATTTCTTTCGATTTTTAATATAAGAGCTAGTTTTCCTTTCAATTTAATTCCAAATACAAAATTTCAATTCACTTTGTCTTTAATATTTATCTATTTTTTAAGTAATTCTTATAATAATTACATATGTTAAAGTGTTATTATCAATTTATAATTCAAACATATATAATTAATAAAGGTATTTTAAAAAATATATTTATTTATTATAAATAACTAATTTAAGTAACTTTCTTGATTTCTCCAAATTAACCAATCAAGTCAACTAGGAACCGGATGTATTAAAAATTATGCCCGGTAAAAAGCTGATTTTTCCAAATACACTTTTGTAAGAATTGAAAATCAGATTATTATACAAAGAAATTATAAATCAAACCTCAACAACTCGCTCGAAGATGACGGGAGTTAGTTACTCATGCAACCCGAGTTGCTATTGTTTTTTGGGTCAGGGAAATTCTACCTCCTATTCCTAATATAAAAATTTATTCAATTTTTAATTTAGTCCTAAAACTCTAATTTATTTTATTTTTTATATTTATTTTTTTTAAAAAAATAGTTTTTGTAGTTTGCACATATTAAAAGTTTTATTAAACGATAATTCTAATAAGGGTATTTTAAGAAAAATAATATATATTTATTATAAATAACTAACTTAACTATTATACTCTTAAGGACCTGAAAAGTATTAAATCTTAATACTTCTTAATATATGACTTAATTGTTAAGTTGATTTTAATCATAAATATAAGACCTATTTATCATATTTATTAATTTTTTCTAAATTACTACTATAGATACTTTCTTAACCATAATTAAGTAAAATAAAGAGAAGGATATTAAAAAAAATGATTATAGTGTTTTAAGAGAAATATATTATTTTTTATAATTAACCAACTTACTTAATTTTTTTAATCTAATTAAATTAATTAAATAAATTTTATATTAAGCACGGAATACCAGTATTAATCAAGCTGACGAAGGATGGTCAAAATAATAAAACACGAGCGAGCAAGCGGACGATTTTATAGTAGTAGTATTTTAATCTTCTCGGGTCGTAAATCTTTTACCCCGAATTCCGTTGACCTTGGTTCATTCGAATTCGGCTTAGGGTTTCTAGTGTGATTTCTATCAAACTGATTTTCTTGTAATCTTGGAGCGAGTTTTCAGAGAAATGTTTTCAGAGACGGTGATAAAGCAGGGCCCAAATTTTAATTCAGTACAATCGGATGCTTCCGCCCCCAGATTTTATGAGTGGCTTTTCGAGTGTCATGGGTTCTGGCACAATGCGACTTTGATCATCGCCTCGCTTCTTTTTGTCTTTTACTTGGCAGCCCAATCCAAGAAGAGCTTCTTGAAGTTTTCACTTGGTCGCTCTAACATTATAATATCATATTATGGATGCCTTTGGCTTGTTAGCGTCCTCAACCTTGTTTGGTGTCTTCTCCAGGTTCGTTCTTGTAATCTATTGTCCGCATGGTTTGTCCGTTATTAGGTTTCTTGTGAGTTGTGAAGGGTCACTTGAATAATTGATATCCTTTCTAAGCATTGGGCCATGCAAGTTACGGCGTAATTGCGCTGGAATAAATATGAGGTGGTCACAGTTATGTTCACTTAAATCTGGACAACACTTTCATGGAACTGATATCTGTTTCTTGCTGGGCTTTTATGCACATAAGCTTTAACATCTAACATCATCATGTTGCTTGTTTAGCCCATCGCAGCCGTTATAAGAGAAGTTTGTCGGTCAATAACTCAGTGGAAAGCTTCTCCTTGTTTTTCACTAATATATGCATGGGCATTTGACTGGCGTTCTATTTATTTTTGGTCTCTCTGCTTGGTCTTTTTAAAATAGGAGTGGTGAAAGCAATTTAGAAATTCATGCCCTTCATAGCAAAAATTATTTTAAAGAACTAGGGAGAATGACAATTTAAGACCTCATAAAAAGGTTAATATCAAATCAGGACCTCATCACAACTTAAATTCCCAAATTTTAGTACTCAATTGCCCATATTTGAATACAGAAAATTTTTTTAGAAGTTCCATCCTCTGTTGTGAGGTCCGTAGTTGTCATGCTCCCAAAGAACTATTCTCTAAATGCTTATATGGATTGCACTAATACTGCTGTACCTATCGTGGTGAATTGTTTGTTATGTTGTCTCAACAATTTGATCAATTTCTTGTTAGCATATAACTTTGTCAAAAGAAGCTGTATTAGTTATTCTTTGTTGCCGTCATGATCTGTAGAGTGTTGGTGTCACTTAAGTTGATATAGAGAACTCTTTTAGTTCACACATCGTGGTGAATCCTACATATGGCAAACCTAGAGTTGTTATAATGGAGCATTTTTGTCTACTAGTATCCGTAATGTCATGACTCTTATGTTGACTCAGGTGTGGGAGTGCACTCCTGGGAAAGAGTTGGCGTGGAACTTACTATCATTGTTTACTACATCTGGCATGCTGTTTCTGGAAGTAAGCTTGTTGGCTTTTTTGCTTCAGGGAAATATAGCAAGCGACCCAGAAGCATTGACCCGGACTTTTGGTATCTCAGGGCTTATCGTTGGTTTAGATATCTCATTGAAGGTTTTTCTTTGATATTCACTATAGTACGCCTTATGGTTCTTTCAATTATGCTCAAAACGTGATTAGCACTTGGAGAAAAATGAAAACTTTCTTTTCTAGCAGTGCACGTTTAGGAGTAAATCTAGAATCTATTTTTATGTAGTGAATATGAATGTGAAAAGATTTTGCGTTTCTATCTACTTCTCCAGAAAAAGAAAAGAGATTGTGGTTTCCCTTATTTAATAAATGATTCGTTTTGCCCATATTTTAGGCTCTATATCTGTTTGGATTTGGGATCCCATTATTCATCGACAGCAATGAAAATAGCCATCATGTGAAGTGGAACTTGTGGGTTTTCCACAAGCTGCTGCTCACTGCCGTTTATGGCTTCGTACTCTTTATGTACCATTCCAGGTGGAGAGAAAAGTTGCCTGGTGAGTAACTTTGTGGATCAGCATATGAGTGCTTTCTATAATGTTTCATGATTGCTAAATTGTACTACCTTTCTGCAGCCAGGCCTGCATTTTACAAGTATATTACGATCATGTTCATCTTGAATGCAATTGCACTCTTTTCTTGCGGCCTCACGGGAAATGGTGCTGCTTTTGGTTTCTGGTTAGTGTCTTTCTATGGCATATTTCAAAGCCTTGTTTTTTTACCAGGGCATCTTTTTCTAAGGCTGTGTTACTTGTTTTACAGGCTCTATATTGCCACTGTTGTCTGTTACCATGCTTTTTATCTTCCTCTTCTGTATATAACATTTCTGGCAGACTTCTTCCAGGTTATAATGCCCTTCACTTAATCCTCTGACTAAGGATTTTATGTTCAAACTTCTGTCGTATTTATGGTCATGGTCTTATGGATAACCTTGTGTTTTGCTGACTGATCGTTATAATTTGTCTTAATTATAGGAGGAAGATATGCACTTTGAGAACATGTATTATTCTGAGATGAAAGATGCTGGTTTCTTCGATGCTGATTGGGAGTGATGTGATATAGAGTAGAATATGACCTCGATAACTAATCGCAGGACAATCTGGTTCACAAAAATATGTAGATAAATGTATCTAGTGTTTTGTATCGCATCATCATTTAGAAAAGAATGTTACTTGACAGCACAAGCCTTGAATGAAAGGTATGTCGGTAAATTGCTTTCTCTAGGCACTGCCACTATAATGGTCTGTTAACCGTTTGAGGGGAAAAGAGAGGAGAACCACTAATCCCCTGTACATATTTGTTTAATACAATTCTTTTAGCTCAAAAAAATAAAAAAACAGAGAGAGAGAGAGAGAGAGAGAGACAGGAAAAGAATTTCACCAAGGAAAAAGGAACATTTTTCCCCGGGGGGGGGGGGACGTTGGTGCGTATTTGTGCGTGATATCGGATGGCTTAGTAAATATACGACGAATGTATGAATTATATTGTCAAGCATTATGTAGTTAGGTGTTTTAAGGAAAATAAAAATGTTGATAATAAAAGCATAAATATACAAGTAACAAAAAGAATCGCCCTGTATACCCCGGAAAGTGGTGCCCTGAGCCACAAAATGTACCAAATATGGACAACATGTAATTAAAGGATCACAGGCACGGCAATGGTGTGTGTTGGTGAGTCACCGCGTAAGCGTCAAGTTAGTTAGCATTTCTCTGAGGAATCCACTGAACTGATTGGTTGTGTATTACAATGGTGACAATCAAATGTGTTTCAGTTTAAGATGTATCCTTCCATTGCATTGACTGTACTAGTGAGACGCGGGAATCCATTCGTTACAAAAGGTTACTGCCTCCGGTTTTTAATATAAAAATTTATTTAATTTTTATTTTGATTCTAAATATAAAACTATAATTTATTTTGTCTTTCATATTTATTTAATTTTTTAAAAAATAGTTCTTATAATAATGATAGTTCTAATTAATATACTTGATTAGCAAGGATATTTTAAGAAAGACAACATTTATCTATTACAAATAACTAACTTAATTAATTTTTTTAATATACTCAAATTAGTCAACTAGTTCTTATATTAAGAGCTGGAGGTATTATTTAATTTATCCTGTTTTTTTTCATTTTCTTTCTTTGTCAACGTTATCCACCACTCTGGATGATCATATTCGGATAAATTCATACAATGAAGAGGAAACTCATGCAGCTTATTAAGATGGAACTCATGCGATGCACGAGCTCTTGGTAAAGCCGGGAAAGATATAAATTGGTATCAAAAAATTTATCCCATCCCGCTTAATTATACATTTACCTTTTTGAAACGTCAACTTCCATGCGTACACAGAGACGCGTTGATTTCTACTGTATTAACTAATTTAAAAACATTAAAAAATTATTAAATTACTTAATTATAACATATGTTATATGATTTTTTTAAAAAATATTTGTATGTATCATTAGATTATACCAACTCCAATCCTTAATATAAGAGTTAGCTGACTAATTTGATTATATTAAGAAAACTAGTTAAATTAACTATTTGTAATAAATATATGCTTTCTTTTCTAAAATATCCCTGCTAATTAAGTTTATTGGTTAGAACTATTATGATTACAAAGACTACCTTAAAAAAAATAGATAAATATAAGAAACAAAGTGAATAAGGGTTTTATGTTTATGATCAAAATAAAAGTCAAATAAACTCTTATATTAAGAACTGGAGATAGTATATCAATTTATAAGTAAAGTAAATTAATTTTAAAAAAATTATAAATATAAATATTTAAATTAATTTAGTAATTTTTTTAATCTTTTTTAAATTGATTTACTGAGTGTATATTAAGGACGTTCTGGACGCCGGAGGCACTGTCTTTTCTGCCGCCACGCAGATTTCCATATTTTATAAGATATTACCCCTTTTACTTAATATAAGATTCTGTTTGATTTTTATTTTGGTCCTAAATATAAGACTCCAATCCACTTTGTTTCTCATATTTACTCAATTTTTTTCCAAGATAATCCTTCTAATAATTATAGTTCTAGTTAATACACTTGATTAGCAAGGATATTTTAGAAAAGACACTATTTAGGACAAATAACTAACTCAACTTATTTTCTTAATCTCCTCAAATTAGTCAACTGGCTCTTATAATTAGGACTAGAGGTAGTATTTCATTTGAAATTCTTTTTCTTTTTCTTTTTTTTTTTGGTGACAAAAGCAATTGTTCTGATGACTCAAACAAAATTACAAAAGTATTTTGTTTTGTTTAATCGTACCGGAATCCTCAGAAAATCCGATATCTTAATTTGAACACAATGCTGAAATGCAAATGAAAGCCTCTCGGGGACCAGAAGTTTACCTGCCCGTTCATGCTCGAAACCTCATCACAAGAAGCAAATGGTCACCAATTTCTCCCATTCTCATCAGCCATCACCGTATGAAGCCACTCAGCTCTTAAAAAGCGGCAAATTTGGACCCTTCTGTAACATTTTGTATCATCTGATAAAGCCAGCTGTTTCTCTACTCTCTTTTTTCTTCTTGTTGATGTATCTTTAATTCTTTAATTATACATATTTTTAATTTTTAATTTTACAATGTGTCCTTTTCTAATCTGATTTTATAAAGAAAATTAGTCTCGTTGGATCGTGTCGTACTCTCTGAGTTTTAATCAATTTTCAGTTTACTTTAACGTAGTTGCGTTTGACCACGAAGTCAAGCAGCGGAGAAAGCGATACTACTTTGAAATTGTAACTTTAAGAAGTAAATTTGAAGTTTTGGACTGACGAGAGGGGAGGTGGGGTAAAATGGTAGTGGGGCCCAGCACTTTGGCGCCACGGTTGCACGGAGCCATGGAACAAGCCCGCCTTCGTGTCGTGTCGGTAACAATCAATGCGTTCCACACGTCCTTTGACTGACTCCACAAAGTAAATTTATTAAAAGCAAAGCCATTACTGTTTCCAGTTTTTCACATCACTCGCTATTATGATTCCAAAACGACAAAAACAAAAGAACCCTCTGTTTACCACTTTCACTGTGATCTTCATACTGATTCCCTTCCTTTTCGTTCCCCCCTTCTGCTATCTCTTGATCGTTTCCCCTTTTTCTTCCCTCGTTGATGCTCATACTGGTAAACACAGCCTTTCAGTTTCTTCCCATTTCCAGCCCTCTGATCGTGCATGAAAAGCATGCTGCTTATTTCCTATTTTACTAGCTCACAAGGTCCATTTCTTATCTGATTAGTTCGTCTTTTCTAGAGCTCTTGACTCCGTCGTTAACAATTGACGTGTCTCTCAGAACGAGTGGGATCTCTGTCGTTTTTAGATGTTGATCTTCACCTTCTGAGGCGACGACTCTGCTCACTCCCTTCTTCTTCTTTTTTGATACTTTTGCTTCCCTCTTGTTCTCTTTGTTAAACGAAACTGAAGTAAGGAATGAAGATGAGTTTCTGGTACTTCGTGATTATAAGCCCTCTTATTTTCAGTAGGCGGCGTATGAAAATCTGCAAGTTCAGTTTTCACTATTTTCACTTCTAATGAAATGCAGGTTGCTAGGCTTGGAATAAAACCTGTTTGGTTTTGGATGCTGGTTCGATTAGCTTGAATTTGGATTATAATACACCGAGCGCTAGTCATGAGCAAAAGACTTCTGCAAATTGAGCCCAAGGAACTTAAGCTTACCTGTGCGTAAACAATTGAATATTTGCCTATGGTCGTTCTTTCTAGAAGCTTCTCACTTCTTGATTAAAATGTTAACGGATTCTTCCTTTATATTTTCCTTTTTATATTTGCACTCACAAATTAATATATTAGCTAGAAATAATATTTATGCTTGATTACTTGGAAATTAAAATATTTTTGCCTGAAATCTATTAGATCTTTAGGTATCATATTTCCAGTTCATCTACGAAACTGAATCTATCGTAAACTTGAGACTGATGGATGGATTGACAAGGCAAATTGCTTAGGGATTTATGCATACTGTTATCAAATGTTTTTAGTTCCTGGCTAATCCGTGACCTGAGTGGTCACCCTCGTTCCCTGTTTTATTTCTGATAATGTTTCGGTTCAGTATTTTTAGCGGTCACTGACACAGTTTTTGGCATTTATAGTTGAACTAAAGAAGCGAAGTTCATGCTCAGTTCAGTTGACTAATAACACCCACCACTATGTTGCTTTCAAGGTCCGAGCACCTTTCTTATTCTTGCAACTGATCTTTATTTGTTGACCTGGAAATCGGTATTATTAATACATAATACTGGGCAGCTAAATCAATTAGGTCTGATATTGGCAGATCAAGACAACTTCGCCCAAGAAATACTCAGTTCGGCCACATGTAGGAGTTCTCATGCCAAAATCTTCTTGTGCGTTCGTAGGTATAACTTTCTTGTGACCTATGTTATTTTTATCTCGTTTGCCAGTTAGTATTATTTACTGGTGTCAAATGAGTGGAAATGACTGAGTTGGAAGATTAGTAAGTGAAATTGGTTTGTGGTTTATTGATTCACCTACATGATATGCATATTTTTGTTTGGCATCAACCTAGTCACAATGCAAGCTCAACGAACGGCACTGGTAGATCTGATGTGCAAGGACAAATTCTTAATCCAAAGCACCGTTGTTCCTGTTGAAACGACTAATGATGACATTACTTCTAGCTTGGTACGGATGTGTCCTTGGTTTACAGATCGTGTTGGTCGTTTTTATTATTTCTTTTTAATATTTACTATTTCATTTGTAAATCATAGTTTGTCAAAGATGCCGGCAGATACATTGAAGAAGAGAAACTGAAAGTGACCCTGGTTAGCCCATTTCATTCAGCCGAAGCATCTCCTGTTAATGGAGACATTAAAAAAGGACTAGCCCAAGAAAATGATAAGATGTTCAGTGAAGATGAAATTACATCTCCGGAAAACATGGTCAGATAAAATCCTCTAATGCTTGGTTTAAAGTTCCTTTCCTTCCTTAATCTCTGTCTTAATCACCTCAATATTTCAAATCCTTGGATCATTTACTTTGTCAGTTACTCAATTGGAAGGTTTGCAAATTATGACTTGTGGATAGTTGTTTTCATGGTTTGAAGAATGCTTTTTGTACTCTATAAAACAATATGATGTTGAGTAAATTCAAACTTTGTCGATGCTGTTTCTTATGCTTTTGGTCGGAGTCATGTTTTAGGAAATTGTTATCGGTTCCCTTTGGTTTTGTTTGTTGTCACAATTGGAAGCGTTGTTACTCTCCTGCGCATATGCTTGGGGGATGGGTTGGTTATTAATTTCACTAGTTCAAATTATACTTATTAAAGAACTAATGTCTCATAAGCTGTT